CACGCTTCCATGAGCGTAACTAGAACGTTAATTTGGGGGGGGGGAATATATATTCATATGTTCAGCTCTGCCCTGCTGATTTCTTTTAATTGCGATGTTAATTTCAACAGAAGTCAGCAGGGCAGAGCTGAATATATGAATAATTACCCCCCGCCTCCAATTACGTTTTAGTTTTGGTCCTGACGCTATCAGTATGTTATTTGAGAACTTAAACGTCGTTGTTAAGGAATTTTCGTAAAAACGAGAAAATTGATTTTATTTTTATGCCGTACTACACAGGGGCGGATCTAGACTATGTCAAATCCGTCGCGCGACTGATGTTTGAAACTCAAAAATTACCTATTCATATTAGGTAAAAATACATTAATTATTCTTACTTTATTATCGCATTTACTTCGTGATAAAAATCCAGCTTTATTTATTATTGAAAACTAATGACTAATCAATGAATATCTCCTTGGTAACCAGATCAGTTGAATTTTTATTGACCTGGAATAACTGACTGATAAGCGGGGTGGCTTGACTGGTTCGACGGATAAAGGAGTCTATGAACGCCAAAAACGCTCATTTCATTGGTCAATAGCCAGATCAGTGGACGATCTGGAATAATCTCGACCGATAAGTGGGGTGGCCGGACCTATAAGGGAGTCCACTTGCCATCGTGTAATTGGTTCGTTTAAATTTTTGTCTTACTGTGATTGGTTTGACCTATTTCGACTGATAGCCAACTGAACTAACATAGTCAAGCTCACTGTCTGAATTGAATGTTTGATCGTTTCATAGTAATTTTTTAAAGCATGATAGAAACTAAACTACAATCAGATGGAATTTATGGAAATCTTTTACAAATTCATATATTGACATGAATGCTGCTTTCCAAACTGGGAATTTTTTCAAGAGGGTGAAAAATTTATGGATGAATTGTAAATGCTTGGCAAAGACGATCTCGCGAGCGACATTTCAGTCATTGATGTTCAAAAGCAAGCCAACATTGTTTTGAGTTTTATCAGCAGAAATTTACATCCAAAATCGTAAGTAAAGGACAACTGTAGTGTATGCATGAATGTGATATATCAAAGTCAATTTATGCGAGTGTGTGATGCGATTTATGTTAATATGACGTATGGTAAGCAGATAGATGCTTCTAAAATTGTTGTTGCCGAAGGAATTTTAGCTATGATTTCTTTAGTGCTTGGGGAATCGTGACCGTTATATGGCAGCGAAATCGTACATTCCTGCAAATATATTTCAATGGACAAAAAATCTGTAGCCATAAGGCGCCATACTATTATTTACTTTATCATAAACAAATGTTTGGGGCTTTTCAGTTTATGATCATTGATCATTCAATCATTAGACAGTTATACTACATATTGTTTAAGATTTGAGAAAACTAACATTGATTACATGAGAAGCTGTTTACTATAACCTGTGATTTTGAGTCTTCTGATCCATGAAGCTTTTTATTTTGACAATTTGACTGGAATGGTATTAAACCTTAGTATTTCACATACATGAAATGTTGTCCCATGTCACATATTGTCCCCTTTTCTAACTGAACACCTCATGTAGAGATGTAAAGGTGTGTTAATCTACGGCTCATACCAGATTGTTTGCCATAAATTCCAAAGGGCTATTGATGTATGAAAAGCATTTTCTATAAAGTAAAAATGTCTTCCTATGTATGCAGATAAACCTTGAAATTTGGCAAAACAGCAAAGTATTTTTCATGATCACTAGGTAATTTTTCTGATGATCATTATAATTTCCAAACTAAATTATTTCAGATTTACATTTAAACGAGCTTTGATCATATGAAAAGATTTTTATCATAACCAGTAAGCATGACAAATGAACCAATTTTAACATTCATGTAATTATATAATTAAAGACATGTTGGTTACATTCTGTTTGTATTTGATAATACAATGCTACTAGTGATTGCTATATAGCACACCTTGCAGAAGATAATAGTCAAGTGAAATGCCTAATAAACATTTATGGCATTAAGCTGTCGTTAACTGCAAATTTTCACTCTGATAATTTTTGCTTAATCTTTGGCAGAAAAAAATTTTGAGTTTTCTCAAAAGGTGAATTTGCCCCCCCAGGTGCGGAGCGCCTCCGACGTTTTATGACTGATGTTTGGAAAATCCTAGATCCGCCCCTGGTACTACAATACAACATATCTACATGCACTTTATCAATTAAATAAAGCAAACATGTTGCAATATTTAGACAAAAAATACATTTAATTGAGTAATTGTATATCATTTATGATTAAGTTGAAAACAGCAAAAACCATTCATTTTATTGTGAATTTGCATTCTGAAATGGATGACTAAAGTATATAACCTACGATGTTCACTTTTGATTTTATTTTAATATCTTGTGTTATGTTTACATACTACGAGGCTGTGGCTTAAAGCAAGATCAATCAATGGCTTAGTCATCCTACTAGTTATGGTATTGCATAATGTATTGTGAATTTCAGACAATTTTTCGTGTTTAAAAAATCACTTCTTTTAACACTCGCAGCGAGTGCACATAGAAAACGGACAAACCATGAGTCTGATTCTGATGGCCAGAATGAGTTGGGCTGTCAATTCTCAATTCTCATCGTCAAAATGTTGTCAAAGTAAAGACGACCACAACATTTGTTATTCAGAATTTTAAAGTTTTGGTTTTTCTCGACCCAATCTTCCACCATTCACAGTTGCTCCGCTTACTTCCTTATAGTCACGTGATTAAATGGAATGAAACATGGAAAGATGGCGGAATTCCAGTGGAATAGTAATTCATAGAGATGCCTTAGTAAGGTTTTATTTTCATTCCTTTTGAACTTTTTAAATCGTTCAGTCATGCAGAAGAACGTGAAAACGAAGAACGTGTTCCTATCTGGTGCTTTACAAAGAATTCTACTCGATAAAGAAACGAAAAAGTCTCATCATTCACAACTAAAGAAAGCTTGCGAAACGGCTTTGGGTATAAATCCATAAGTAATGATTGTAGTTATTGCTGATGTATTTAGATTCTATTTGCTCTATGTTTTTATGCATTTTCAACCAGTTTCTACATTTGCTATCAACAAAACATTAAGTGTAGTAATCTTTCATTCAGGATGTCAAAGAACGCTGTCGATAGTATCTTTAAAATTGCTCAATGTATGATTTGTACTTTTTTATACGTGGCAAACAGTTATTTTTTAGTGTCAATCGCTTGTTCATATTCTTCTTCTTGAGTTATATGTATATATGTTTATGGAGAAATGTATGTCAACGTGTGCAATGAATGTAATGTATTGCTGTGTTTAGGAACAGGCGCGGATCCAGCTCCTTAGCTGACCGATGCATTGCGAGCGCCGAAGGCGCGAGCTACCGCTATGGGGGTCTGGGGGCATGCTCCCCCAGAAAATTTTTGAATTTTCACTATCCGAGAAGCATTTTCCAGCGATTTGGGAAAGGTGACAGAAAAATCTTAAGCGTAAATTTTATCGAAAAAATAACATGAGCCGTCTTTTGTAAGATAAAGCATTGATAAAAGCAATGTTCAAAGGTGGTCTTCTTCCAACGGTAAATAGGATGAAAAGTTTAATAAAAGCAATGTTCAAAGATGGTCTTCTTCTAACGGCAGCAAAGATGACAACAATTATAAAAGCAATGTTGAAAGATCGTCTTCTTCCAACCACAGCAAAGATGAAATGTTTAAGAAAATCAATGTTTAAACGTGGTCTTCGTCCTCTCAATAACGGCTGAAAACAAGATAACTCTCAAAGAAAATGTAGGTTGTTTATCAGCATTAAGAATTTCTCATAGAGCTCATCGTCAAGCATCTGTTTCTTTATCCTCCAGGATATCAAGAAATTGCATCCTCGTTGGGTTTTGTCTAGCAAAGGTATTAATCACTTCTTCGACATCACACTTAATATCATCATTAATATGCATTTGGGCTAATCCATTTAACCTTTCGTTGATCATTGTGCTACGTAACCAAGTTTTCATTCGACGAAGGGCAGAAACGGATCTTTCACACTCACATGTAGTGACTGGAACAACAGCGAGTATCTTAAGCGCTGTAAATATATTTGGAAACGCAAGTTTGTTACAAGTTCGAAGCGTGTCGGCAATTGAATCGTACTTAACTTTCTCAAAGCCCCCTTTCCAATTTGTTTCCCACAATCCTAATTCAGCATGTATTTTCCGAAAGTGTGGCATATCCTCTTTATATGCAACAGCAAACTTCATAAACTCTTCCTTCCAATTAACGTCCTTGCAATTGAGAAAATACTAGGTATAATATAGAATCCACGATAAATATCGCACACCTCTGAAGAAAACCGAAATTCCATCTGTTCAATCAAGTGATCAAGAAGGGATGGTTAGTTTCATGCGGTAGTATTCACGTGCTGTATGTGCAGGATAGTTTTCACGAGTTGTCTGAACATTGCAAAGTCGAGGAATTTTTTCATCAACGTTTACTCTGTTTGCTAAATCCACTGCTTCTTCGTAGTATTGGTCATGAATTGTATCAGCCGAGCTGCGTAAAATTTTTAATTGTGACTTCAAAAGATTTATATGTTTAATTGATTCAGCGATATCGATCATCCTTTGCTGCAGTTGAACAGTCAACGACATTGTGTGATGCAGAACATTTGATGTAATCACAAGATTAACAATAAATTCGAAAGATTTTATGGAACGAAGATATCCCTCTGCGTCCCTACTTGAATTATCAAAATCTTTATTCATATTGAGCTTCATGTACTCTAAACTTTGACAAACAGGTACAAATGCTTCCACAAATCCATCAAGTGTACGTATCCGTTCAACCCAACGCGTTGTGGATGGAGCTCCTAGTTTTTTACGACATAACCCAGACTTTTCCATATTCTGCCTCAAGCACTGCATTCGTAGGGGGGATGGGCTGAAGAAACTGAAGATATTTTGAGCATGCCCCAACATGTTTTTGACAGTTTTCTCACCACATGCTTTAGCAACAACAAGGTTCAATCGATGACTAGCGCAATGGATATACAAAGCTTTTGGATTTTATTTTAAAATACGACCAGCAACTCCCTTTGATTTGCTTGACATTGCACTGGCACCATCATAGCACTGACCACGACAGTTGGAAAGTAGTAGCCCAACTTCGTTTAAAGTATCTTCGATATTCTTCGCTAGCGCTTCGCCAGTCATTCCTTCACACTCAACAAATTTAATAAATCGTTCATTAATTTCTTGCTTTGAGTCAACATACCTTACAACAATTGGCATCTGCTCGATACTGCTGCAGTCTGTTGCCTCATCACCAAGGACTGAGTAAATTGGGCATTCACTAGAATTGATTTCAGAAACAATCTTTTCTTTGATTTGTTCCCCGCAGATCTTTATCAGCTTGTTTTGAATTGTCTTCGAACGATAAGTTGCATTCTTACTTGCATTTTCAAAATGTTTTTCTAGTTTCGCGTCACCCGCGTCTACTCTAAAATTCAAAAAGGCTTGAAAGTTCCCAGGATTAGAAGATAGAAAATACTTTGAGTCGTCACGATGGCCTCGTAAGGGAAGATTCTGTCTGCCTGCCAGTATAATAGTTTTAATAATAGAGCCTAAAACGTCACGATTGTATTGAATGCAGGCACTTCTAAGATGATCGGCTTGTTCGTCGATGCCAATAGTTTTACCTTTCATCACACGTTGGAACTGCGACAAACGTAACTTGGAGTCACGGTGAATTAGGGAATATTTGTCATGCTGGTAAAATTTTGTTGCCGCACTCTGCCAGTTTCTTAAGGGTTCCTTAAATAATTTACTAAGCTTTGAACCATTATGTCCTGTTTGATGACCGAACAAAACGCAATAATAACAAAAGGCTCCATCAAATAATTTAGAGTAGCACAACCAGGACCAACGATCTAGCCAGCCAGCACAAAATTTTCTTGAAGATTTACCATTCTCAGAAAAAGGAAAATTGAAAAAAGGGGGAGGCTTCCAGTAATTTGTTATAAGTCTTAGCTTTGTGTTGTCATCTAGGGCCGCCACAGATACAAAATGTCCAATATCCAAGGGATCAACATCTGTCATATCAGTTTTTACAGATTTTGACAAGGGACAAGAAGCATTTGATACTTTTCCATCTTCAAAGTCGCATGAAAGAGGTCCTAAATAAAACATTACTAAGATGTAGGTATACGACTACATTCAAAATAATAAAGCCTGAATGCGTTAACATGCAAGGTCATATATCATAGGTCATTGTTTTTGGTGCATTTGAGTGAAAGCTTGTTGCCAATTTGACGATCTCATGTTTATAAAGGAAGGATTTATTCACATGTACAAAAAATATCCTCCATCCCACAACGAATACTTTATATTGCATGGTATGCTTTACTTATGTTCTTAGAAAAGCATGCTTACCTATAATTAAAATATATTTGCAAATGAACAATCACTAATTTAACCCACGTTTTAAGGAAGTCTTCAAGCAATCATAGCTGCTGCCATTTAAGTCTTCCCTTGGTGAGGATTTTGCAGGTGCTACCAAAGTTGTGTCTGTTGCTTGCCCACTTTTATTTTTCTGTAAGACATCAACTTTAAAGTGGTCAGTAATTTTTTTATTATTAACTCTTGAGTTATTAGTTTGATTAAATTCAATTAGTGGTACAAAATGATTGGGTTGAAATTCTATATCTAATTCTGAAGAGAATAAGCACCAGTAGTTGTCCACATTAAAATTAACTTAGCAGGCTGAACAAGTTGACTTGAAATATGTTGGTGTGCTTGCCGTGGAAGACTTTTACCATTTAGAAATTGTGAATATTTGGTCTCCTGGTCCAACTTTTCGGGATAAACTGAAATTATAGTCATTCCAGTGACAGAAGACAAACCAAATATACACATAAGTGAAGAATAAGTACCATTGCATGCATTATTTAGAGCTTCCTCTTTAACTACTATTACCTTTGTGCTTGGATTTTCCTATCATAGCCATTGCCTAAAGCCACATCTGATACTGATGCAGAAAAGCAGTATTTTCTGACTTAAAAAAATGCAACTTATCTTTTAAGTAAGGGTGGTTAGCATAATACTCCTGGTGATTGAATAGCTCAATGCTTGTCAAGTCTCTCAGCAAATGACATAGGTCTTCCTTGCCACAAAGTAATTTTGAGCAGGCTCTGTACAGACAATTACCATCACCTCTAGTTCTAAATATAGCAGAGTTAAGAAAATTCTCATTGTGTGGCTAAAAATTAGAAATCAGAAGAATTCAAAACTTAAATGTCTGACAGGGTTATTAAGAAAATGTTAGCTTCTACTGAAGTCATAAGTATATTGGAAGAAGGAATACAGTCATTACATTTTTAATGTAATCCATACAATACATAAACTAAAATGCAACTAAAATCGCACCTACCCCTGCATATTACAGTTTGTATTATATTACATATGAATACAAGTATAAGTGCTGCATAAGTAATATGACATCGTGTATATTTTATGATGATTGTTCGTCGTTATCTACGACTACACTCTGAGTCTGAAATGAGTACACTATTTACATTTAAAACATGCAAGCATAAAGGTAGATTTACTTACTTTAAAGCTCTTAGTTCTCCACTTTGCCAATGAACTGTCAAGTGCTTAGGTATTAACATTTCACTTGACATATCTCTCCCATTTTTACCCTTTGAAAAGGGATTCCAAGGAGAGGATTTTGAAATAAAAGTAGCAGCTCTCGTTTCATAGGTTCGACGCACTCCATTAATATCAAATGACTTCTCTTCTCGAAGCAGAGTACACAGATCTTGTTTGATATTCTCGACAGCCATGACTTCGATCGATGATTGCGAGTTATATCAAGTGATCAAATAACAATGCATTCAACTTTGAAGTTCAAAGTTGAATGCATCGGTGCCATGTGCCCACAATCACAAAATTATGGAAAATGCATCGCTCAGCGGCAAAATCTACCGTGACGTGAGGCCCTAAAACAATGGTTTTGCTGATGTCACAGTAGATTTCACGCGGAAAAGGACTCGGGACCGATGCATCGCAAATCTACTGTGACGTAGCGATGCCTCTTCCATCTACCGTGACCATTGAGTTCTATAATAACTGGAGCGGCTAAGTGGACTGGGAACTGTTGTAAAAAACATGGCGGCCAACGGACGTATTTCCGCTGAAATGATCGCTTTGCAGAAAAATAATATTCTCGACCTCCTCCGGATTGATGTTATTGATTTTCCCGCCTTCAGTTGAAAATTTCAAATGCAATTGCAAGCTGTATGATAAATAAACAATATTTTCAAGGCCAAAACAATATTTTTTTCAAAAATGCCTAATCGATGTTCGATTGTAGAATGTCGTAATATTGACAACGCGAAGGACATCGCTTTTCACAGGTGAGTTATTCGCTTATTTTGTTTGTTCCTGAAAGATTGAATCGGCATTTATACAATTGAAAGCCCCAAAATCTGTTAGGCCTTATGAAAAAACATTGTCTTAAATACTGCATACACTGATGTTTTCCTGTGTGTTTTTTAAAAAATTCAACAAATTTGTTTATTTATTTGTTGAATCAACGCATGAAACAATAAATTTACTAATCTATTTCAAATAGTTTTCCTGACGAAGAAAAAAACCCTGCACTTTTTTTGGAATGGGTAAATAGTATAAAGAAATGGTCGCCTCTCACAGTTCTAACTAAGTGGAGCAGAGTTTGCTCAGATCATTTTTCCGATAGCATGAAGAGAATATCAGGTAACAAAGTGTGTCTAGAAGATAGTGCTGTGCCCACATTATTTCAACAGGTGAAGGATGTTGAATGTACGAAGAGCACTGAAAAGGTGAGTCGTCATTTCTCTACTCATGATCACTCGTATTGTCTTAAGTCTCCCAGGAGAATGAAAAGACAATTGGAAGATGTTATAGACCGGGCAGAGTATTATAGAAAGAGGTTAAAAGTGTCTAATACGGAAAAAAGTAGACTGAAAAAGAAGGTAAATGATTTATTGTCAATCATTGATTGCCTTAAAGATGATAAAATGATCAGCTCTGATCAAGCTGAACTTCTTAATGCTTCACTATCTGGGGTTCCTGAAGATATTTTGAGTCGTTTAGTGGCAAACACTCAGGTAAAAAGGTGCTCAATACCCCCAGAATTGCAAGCTTTGCACTAACTTTGAAATTTTACTCGCCTAAGGCTTATGATTATGTTCGTGAGAAGTTTAATTTAGCCTTACCTCATCAAGAGTAATTCGATCTTGGTATAATTCCGTGGATGGTGACCCTGGTTTCACCAAGGATGCCTTGAATGCTTTGAAAGTGAAGGTTCAAGAATCAAAGAAAGATGGCAAGGAAGTCATATGTGCATTGATGCTGGATGAAATGTCAATTCGTAAACACGTAGAATGGGATGGTCAAAAAGTTTGTGGTTATGTTGACCTTGGTACTGGGATTGACGATGATTCACTCCCTGAAGCAACAGAAGTTTTGGTATACATGGCTGTTGCTCTAGATTCATCTTGGAAAGTACCAGTTGGTTACTTCTTGGTAGATGGCCTCACTGCAGAAGTAAAAGCAAATTTAACCAAGGAGTGTTTGATGCAGTTGCATGATGTTGGTGTTAAAGTTGGAAGTTTAACGTGTGATGGTCCATCCACACATCTTGCAATGATGAAGTTGCTTGGAGTGAAACTTTCACTTAATGATTTCCAAGCATATTTTTTACATCCATCTGATTTAATGTTGAAAATTTATGCATTCTTAGATCCTTGTTACATGATCAAGCTTGTCAGAGGAGCAATTTCTGAATTGAGAACTCTGAAGGATGAAAAAGATGGTTTGGTAAGATGGCAATACCTAGTTGAGCTAGAAAAACTGCAAGCCTCAGAAGGCTTGCGACTTGCCAACAAACTAAAGAAAGCTCACATAAACTGGAAGCCACAGAAAATGAAGGTAAATTTAGCAGTGCAAGCACTCAGCTCGAGTGTTGCAGATGCTTTAGAGTTCTTTTTTGAAAATAGACATGTTTCGACATCTCATGATGCCATCTTCAGTATGAATGAAATAATAGGTGATACAGGGTTTATATAAAAGTAATATGAACCCTGTATCACCATCTCTAACATCATGAATGTCGAAGCATGTTATCAAAAGGTATTATATTAAATGTGTATTGGCAATAGTGCTTTTACGAAACTTTAGAGTTCTGTGAAGGTAAGCTCAAACTTCCACAGTTTAAAGGGTGTGATAAAACAGTCAAATTCATTCGAGTATTTGATCGCTTGTTTGACGTTTTGAATTCCAGGAATCCAATTGCTAAAAATTACAAAGCACCAATAAGGAAAGCGAATTACAAGCTGATAAAAACCTTCTTGGATGAAGCAAGGCAATACGTCTTAAATCTGAAGGGTGCTGATGGAAAGTCGATTTTTCCCATAAGAGGAAAACAGGATTCTTGGGGTTTCTGTTGTGCATTGAAGCAGTGCAAGGGCTTGCTGAGGATCTTGTTATAAGTGAAAATTCTCCCTTAAATATTTGCTTACTTATAAGACAAGTCAAGATCATTTAGAATTGTTTTTCAGCTGTGCGAGCGTCAGGAGGTTGGAACAACAACCCGACATCTCGACAGTTCAAAGCAGCGTACAAGCAGTTGTTGATGCGACATAACATTAAAGGAGGTCATGGAAATTGTGTTGCTCAGGATGGTACCGAAATTCTAGTAGACTAGAAGATCGGTGTGAGAGTGAACAAATGTCGGCAGATATTTCCGATGTAAATACTGCAAGAAGATACGATCTAGAACTGCGTGGGCCAGAACAAACTGACCACGATTACAGCGACACCTCAAACTACATTCAGCTTTCAGACTACAAGGAGGCAGCAATATCGTATATTGCTGGGTATGTCACAAAAATGGTGAAAAGGAAGATCCATTGTGATGATTGTATGGATGCTCTGACATCATCTAAAGAAAGAGCACCAGAACTATTTGTGGAATGGAAGAGCAACGGTGGTTTAAAAATACCAACTGACGATCTTCTGAAAGTGTGTCAGGAAACAGAGAAATGTGTAATGAGGATGGTAAATTCCTGCCATGGTGGCTTGCCACATGCAGCAGCAAACATATCGAGTGCAATTGCTGCGACGGTATTATCTGTGTGTGTAGAGAAAAAAGTTTTTAGCATGTTAGATGAGCATGTGTTAGAGTCGACAGTTACAGATAATCATGCTTATAAACTGATAAAGTGTTGTGCTGAGGCATTTGTGAAAATAAGAATGCATCACTTGACCAAAACGCAAAACGATAAGTTGCAGGGTCAGAAAATTCGTAAAAAGCTGTCTAAGCTTGTGTTGTTCAATCATCAGTAGATTGAACGTTGCCTGGACACTATTGTGTTTTCGAGGCTTTGCCTGTGCCTAGAAATGGAATTTTTCATTTGACTATTCCATTTTTTTGAGGCTGTAGGCGTCCTGGCACATAGCAATATGTGTTTCGAGGAGAAATTTAATGGTGCCTGCACATTTGTGTTCGAGGCTTAAAAATGTAACATGAAATTATAACCTAGTTTACGTAACTAAACAATTAAAAAGAATGAGAAGTAATTCGAAATGCAAGTCTTCTATGTGAGTATTCCTCTACAACATAGTACAATATAGAACAACAATAGCACAATATTCATTTTGAACTATTTTTTATAGAGAAAAAAATACTCAACAAAACAGCCCAATTGGACGACATAAGAAAACTATTTTGTGGTCGTAACATTGATAGCACTTTCAATCAGATCGAGCGTTGTAGTAAGTGCTTTTTTCAAAATTAAACCAGTCTGTAAATTGATAAATGAATTGTCAACGTTCTTTTAAAAATAAACGTTACTCAATATTAAACGCACGTGTTTAACTTACAGGTGACATTATGAATATTGCCGGGATGATCTGCATGCGGAAGTCCTTGAACAACGTTCATGATGCGTAACATTTTATCTTTAACATTTTTTTGTACCTTATAGTTCAATGAGTTCACATTGTTTATATAGTTTCTTGACTTGTAAAAAGCCAATGGTTAAACTTCGAATAACTTGAAAAAAAATTTAGAAGAATTTTACTTGAATGCAGGGGTGTGACTTGAGTCCCGAGAATGGAGAGGGGAAACGTTGCAGAATTTGATTTGCCCAACAAAAACGTAGTGTAATTTTTTATGTTAATACCAGCAAAATCGCTTTTTACTTAGTTATGAGTTGATCCAAACGTCATCGTTAATATTTGCCGTTTTAATTTCCGCAAAATTACATGCTTTGCTCGACAAAACTGCTAACTTTTTGAAAGGGAGAGGCTGAGCCACCACATATCAATCCCCTCTCCAGGATTTACACCCCTGTTTCAACGTTACTGATACAGCAATTAACGATTTGTGCACGCTAAATTTACATGTATATTATCATGGGAATCATCTCTTACAAACTATAAAAAACTTTAAAATTCAATGCAATATTTAGTTCTTCATAGTTAAAAAAAAGTTTGATTTGTTAACCAATCAGAATACAGCATTGGCGTTTGTCATTTGCATTTTTTTCCTTTTTTTTTAAATACTATAAATATTTTTAAAACTTGTCTGAATTTTCCTTTGCTTATTTCTTGTTTTTATTGTATTTGCCAACTTTCTATTGTGGTCCATGGATGAAAAAGAGGTTAGTACAGATCAATAATTTAATAATTTCTGATCTGAAAAGCTTTATATGAAGCTTTCAGCATGGAAGTAAACAAAAAGTGATTCATTTACATGGTTTAAATCCCTTCTTGCAAAATATCTATTTACACTTTATCGTTTTTTGCATACAAAAACACCAGATGCTAGATTATACAGATGAGGAAAAAGCAATGGACACTGGTATCAAATGTGTATAAAATTTGTTTTTGTTTTGAAAACTGAAAATCACTCAAATAGTTCAATTGCATTCAAAACAGGTCAGGAAACTGAAGAGGAAGATAATGAAAATGCAAGTGTGTATTTAGCCAAAATGTTATACTGTTTAATGATTGTTTTTGCTTTATTACACAATACAACAATGCATCAAAATGTGCTAAAAATCTACTACTATTTGAGGTGGCTCCAATTCTGAAAACCAAAAAAATAAAGAAGGTAAACAGTGCTTTGTATACAATACTGTTCTCATTCATATATGATATATGCCCATCAGCTCTCACATGATACTTTTGTCTTTTCACCTGAGCCTTTTCACCAAGAGTCTTTTCACCAAGAGTCTTTTAACCTGAAATTTAATCATACACATAACAAATCAAACAGCACCTAACAAACGATTTGTTTATGTAGAAAGCAATGTCTAAGCAAAAAGTTCATTTAAAGGTGTGGTATAGTGTATACATGTACTAATTGCCTTTGATGCCTGGCTGATAATTGCCATTGTTTTTTTTAATGAAGGAAGATGCTATAATTGTGGCCACAAAGGCCACAAAATGAATGAATGCAAGAAAAGTAATGACAAAAAATGAAATAACATTTCTTTCATGACCATTGTAATTGACAATTATATACTTTTTTTTGTATAGAGTTTAATCATATGAGAAGAAGTAAGTTTGATTGACCTAGTGATAAAACATCAGCTTGATTAGACGGTTGAAAACTTAAAGTTGCATGCATTATTGTTAACAGAATTAAGCTAATGACACAAACAAATAAAAAGTTTTATGAACTACAGCTTTCTTATGAATATTTAACAAGACGACGTTGCTATATATGCAAAAGATTGGGCCATGTTGCCAAGCAGTGTAGGGAAGGAAACCTACCAGTCAAAAACGTGCTGAACAATTGCAGCAACTGTACAATAAACCTTACAAGGAAATAAATTTTAAATATTTTTTTTTTGTCATTTAGTCATCTTTAGCAGAAATACAAAAAGATTATATATTGTTTTTTTTCTCAAAACTTCATTAAAAGAAAATTCTTATTGCAAATATGTTGTGTAACTTAGTCTGATTGCACTAACATACATTACCACATTGACATAAATATGACTATAGAGTACTCTTTAAGAGTTAAGTAAAGAACAAATTCTGAAGAAACAAGACATCTTGAGATGTAAAAATGTGAATCAAAACAAGACGTGAACTGTAAATTTTCGATTTATTTCAAAGTCATCCACAGACAGAATGATAATCCAAACCATGCATACACATATATTAAGAAATGGTTTGTTAAGTCATTCTGTCTGAGGATGACTTTGAAATAAATCGAAATTTTACAGTTCACTTCGCGTTTTGTTTTCATTCACATTTTTTCATCTCGAGATATCTCGTTTCTTCAGAATTTGTTTTTACATCTTTTAAATTGTCGGCTGGACATGGCTCAAGACTTTCTCCTTACCTTGAAAAGAGACCACATCGTCCACATCGTGCACATGTACATTAGACACGATGTTTAAAAACGTTCAAAGAGTTCTTTCGTACATAGTTTATAGTTAATAGCTTTCCTCGCAGGACCCGATGACTGGAAAGCAAGCACAGTTGACTCGCTGTTACGAATTGTAGGTTTTTATCGTGATTTTCATCAAAAAATTGCTAGCCGAATCCCAAATACACACATACATTTTCCTCACTCTTTCAGGAGGTGGAAATTGTGAAATTTTCGGAAAAGCGGTCAATTTCGGTAAATCTCAGCGGCAACGGACGAAATCCGCCATGTTTTTTACAACATCAGATATCTAAGGCCGCGCTTGAGATAGCCGCTCCAGTTATTATAGAACTCAATGACCGTGACGTGCTGGCAGAATACTATTAAATTACTTACTAATTATGTATTCACGACAAAATTTCGCTAAATTTTATCGACTTTTCTTTCGCTATTTGTGTCATGGAATACGACAAAATTATCGGAGAACACAAATGTTATTTCTAGAACAAATTTTAGCTTAAAACTGCTAAATCTATAAGTTAACTAAACAATATATCACTGTCAAATGTGCGTTTTAAATAATTCGAAAATAATATTTGCCATTTATTTCATTAAAATGCAAACTCGCAGATTTTAATATCTAAATATTTTGACCGATGCATTCGCATCGGTTGCATCGGTCTAGATCCGCCCCTGTTCAGGAATGTTGCTTTACAAAATGATTGCTTTATGATTTTGATCTATTCTAGAGGAAATAAACGCTGTTTAAGGAAATGAAAAATCTACAGGGTAAGTTTAATTATGTAAAGTTGTCCAATTTTCTTTCCAATTTTTCAATTTTAACATGACCAAAATGAGTTATTAACCTTGAATCTTAATTAATTCACAGTTATATCCAGACTACGCATGCGCACAAATTTGCTAAGTTTTATTGTTCAAAAGTTAGATTTATAAACGAGAATGTTGGTTTGATTTATTTATAATAAAATCTTCAGGAATGTTTCTTCTGCAACTCTACCTCCACTACCTGGTCAGCAAACATTCATTACAGCAGATCAATATTTCCTTCCTTTTGAGTTGGCTTGTCAAACAAAATGTGCCAGGATTGTCACCATTGCACTTGACTGTATACAAGTAAGTTGTTTTTTTTTGATGTGTTAGGACACTTGGATTCTTTAGTTGTAAGAAATAGATTTAATATTGTAAACTCTTTCATTGCATTGTTATTAAGTTATTGCAATTTGGTAGCACAAAATAAGTCTGCGGTATTTTCTTTTGTTAGTTACCTCCTAAATTTCTCCTAGAAATTATCAACCGTACTCATCTCCTATCAACAGTACTCATCCCCAAGCCTCACAACTTCACATGTGTCTTCACCACCATTTTGTATTCCTTCACAAATCTAGGTCATGTATTTTGCTTCTATAAATTTCAAACATTCTTTGTTCTTAGAAACTCATTGCTTATGGTCATATTGTTGGCGATACACCAGACTCCATTGAACCAGAGAGGCGTTTAATTGACAGAATTATCGAGACTATTTGTACTTGCTTTACCAGTATAAATACTGATGTAAATGTTCAAATACAAATTATAAAGGTATTTATAAAAAGTAATGTCAAACTGTTTAAGTATTTAATGAAAGAAATGTTATATCCTTGAGGAATTTAAAGAGGGTAATGACATATGTATCCCTATGTTTTTTACATTTTTTGTGCCATGAGTTTTTTGAATATCACATTGAATAATTGGATTCCAACAAGATTAAAAAAGGCTATGTGTTAACTGTGGACAGTTGAAAATGATCTGATTTTTATAATGTGTATGTTTTTATTATCTATATTTACAGGCTCTTCTAACAGCTGTTACATCAAGTACTTGTGAAGTTCATGAAGGAACTTTACTTCAAGCAGTTAGAACAGTTTACAACATTTACCTTGCCAGTAAAAGTCTTATTGGTCAAACAACAGCAAAGTCAACACTGACGCAAATGATAAGTCTTGTGTTTCAGAGAAGGGAAAGTCAAGCTGTAAGTTTTGTTCTGATGAACATAATATTTTTGTATCATATTGTACATCAATAGACATGTCAATGTTGATAACATTGTATCATAATGTACATCAATAGAGATGTCAATGTTGATAATATTGTATCATATTGTACATCAATAGAGATGTCAATGTTGATAAAATTGTATCATATTGTACATCAATAGACATGTCAATGTTGATAACATTGTATCATATTGTACATCAATAGACATGTCAATGTTGATAATATTGTATCATATTGTACATCAATAGCGATGTCAATGTTGATAATATTGTATCATATTGTACATCAATAGACATGTCAATGTTGATTGATAATATTGTATCATATTGTACATCAATAGAGATGTCAATGTTGATAATATTGTATCATATTGTACATCAATAGACATGTCAATGTTGATAATATTGTATCATATTGTACATCAATAGACATGTCAATGTTGATAACATTGTATCATATTGTACATCAATAGACATGTCAATGTTGATAATATTGTATCATATTGTACATCAATAGACATGTCAATGTTGATAACATTGTATCATATTGTACATCAATAGACATGTCAATGTTGATAATATTGCATCATTTTGTATATCAATAAACATGTCAATGTTGATAACATTGTATCATATTGTACATCAATACAGATGTCAATGTTGATAATATTGCATCATTTTGTATATCAATAGACTGAAAATGGAAATGAAGAAAAGGATGATAGCGATAATTTTAAGGAGAAAACTGACATCAATCCTTTACCAAATGGTGAAATCCATCATGGCGACGAGAAAGTTGAAGATGTGAACGGTAAGAAAGAAATTCTACTTGTTTTTGGAAATTTGAACCTCCCCCCTGAAATTGTCTGAGAAGATAATCAACCACCCTGTGCAAAAAAAACTTGTCTGCGTGTTTCTTTTGTTTTCAAAAACTGGCTTTACGACGATATTGCTGACCAATCCTTATTTTTCAATATTTTTGATGGCTTTCATTTACAGATAGCGAAGTCTCCGTTTCTTC